TTCACATCCCTCGATCATCTGAACCTCCTCCACCTCTCCCCCTGGCTGAATATCCATCTTCTTCTTACCCTTCTCCATTCTCTGCTTATCTTCTTTCGACCTCGACCCACTTGGTCGATTAATCCTCTTCTCCTCTGACTTTGCCTGCCTCTTCGCCAGTTTCTTATTATTGCTCACCGTCGTTTGGTAGCAGCTCCTTGAAGTGAGCTGGTCCCCGACAATCTCCCCTACGTTTTCGCCCACCGGATATTTAATCGTCATGTGGTACGTGGATACGACCGCCTGGAACGCATTCAAGCTTGTCCGCCCCATAATGATGTTATAAGATGATTCAGCTCCTACGACCACAAACCTCACCATGAACACCTTCCTCAGCTCTCCCACTCCCAGCGCCACTGGCAAACTCACCTCGCCCATCGGCATCACCTCTCCTCCATTAAAGCCATAGAGTGTCGTGGTCACCGGTTTCAACTCCGCATTCAACTCCTTATTAATTTGCACAAAACAGTCATAGAACATCACGTCCACCGAACTACCGGTATCAATAAACACCCTTTTCACATCGAAGCCTGCAACCTCCGCGGTTTTCACCAAAGCATCGTTGTGCGGCAGGACCACCCCCTCGGCATCCTCCGCCTTAAAACTTATCACCGGCATGCGAGCCGTAATCCCAACCTCCTCTCTCTTCCTCTTCACAGCTCAAGCATGCTCCTTCCTTGCCCTATTCGAGTCACCATCCGTTGGCCCACTGGAAATCATATAAATTGTCCCTCTCTTCATTGGGGCTTCTCCTCCATGCCCTCCCTTATCGCCCTCTCTCCTTGGCTTCTTACCTCGACCATCTCGACCATCTCCGCCATCTCCCTCCTCATCTCTATCACTTCCTTCCTCCGAGTCCTCCCTACACCTTCTCCTTACTTTCCTTTTCACCCTATCGTGATACACGAACTCCTTCAAATGTCCTGCTCGAATCAGTCTTTCAATCTCATCCTTCAAATGCCTGCAGTTCTCCAAGGTATGGCCGTAATCTCGATAAAATCAACAATATATATCCGATCTGGGCCGAGTCGGGCCTGTTAACCTTGTCTTCGGCCATGTTACATCCTCGTTCGACATCTTCTGCTCCATAGCCTCGAGCACCACCGTCAAATCTTTCCTCAAGGGTGTAAAATTGTGATACCTCTGTCTCTCGAATAACAACGACCTTCCCTGCCACCTGTCATCCCTTTTTTCTCGCTTCGAATCCTGACCCTCCTGGGTGATATCTTTTTCGACCCACTTCTTTTGGGCGAACTCCTTCTCGGCGACCTCCCTCTTGGTGGGCTTTGCTCCCTCTTTTGCTCTGGTCGAGCCGGCCCTTCCAGCTTCACGAATTCTACCTCCATTTCTTCCAGATTAATATACTTCCTGCACCGCTTCAAGACTTCCTCATATGATCGAGCAGGGATCTTTGCCAGGGATGTTCGGCAAGGCCCTGCTCGAAGACTTCTTATCAATCCTCCCACCTTCACCTCATCTGAAGCCGAATGCACCTCCAAACATGTCTGGTTATATCGAGCGACATATTTTCTCAATGATTCCTTCTCTCCCTGCCTCATCGCCATCAACGTCAAGTACGTTTTCTCATGCGCCACCGCACTCGAATATTGATTGGTAAGCTTGTTGGCAAAATCTTCAAAGTCTGCAATCGACCCCGAGGGCAACTGGTGAAACCAGTCAAGGGCTCCCCCGCGTAAGGTCGATAGAAACGCCCTGCAACAAACAGAATCAGCATATCCGTGTAACACGGCCATATTTTCAAAGGTCCTCACATGCCTCGACGGGTCAGAAGACCCGTCATACACCAAGTTGGTCTCTTTGAAATTATTCGGCAAAGGAACAACCAGAATCTCCCTCGAAAAGGGATGTCCTCGAGCTCTCCTCTCTGGCCTTCCCTACACCCTGTCCTGCAATTGGCGCAACTGCTTCGCCATCCTCTCCATCGCCCGATCTCTTCCAGCTCCTCCCTCTCCATAACTGGACACATCCTCATCTTGGTTCCTGGCCACCGTGGTTGGCGCAGTGGTAGCATGAGACGTGTGGCTCGTGACCTGCTGCACCGCCTGCGCCGCCGCGGCCGCCGCTATCCTCTACATCTCTTCTCGGGTCATCGTCACCATTTGCTGAACGGGGGCTTGTACAGCTGCCAGTGGTGGCGCTCCTCCTTGTGCCATCGCTCCTCCCTGCCCCAGTGTTGGATTTGGTGGCGGTGGCGGTGGCGGTGGCATCGCCGCCGCTGCTGCTGCGCGAACCTCCTGGGCTCGACTGGAGCCGGCATCTCCCCCGGGAATCGCCATCGTCGCCCCCACACCTTGAAGGATAGGTGTGGGAGTGATCTGCGATGGACTGGAAAAACCCAGAGGAGGGCCGTGACCCAACGGCCTGGTCGTCGTCCAAGCTTCGTCGAACGTTGACTGCAAATTTTTGGGAATTCCGTCCGCCATGGCTGAGCTTCAAACACAACCTTTTGAACAAAAAAATCCCCACAGACGGCGCCAATAATGCAGGTGTAAGTGTCCTGGTCCGGTTTGGAATGGATCAATCTTTGTCCTCGCCGGTAGAACACCGGAAACCTGCAAATAACTCTCACACCGGGGGTTGTGTCCAGTGAAGAGCCTCCGATGCTTAAGTCAGTAAGTGTATGAGTATACTGAAGTGAAGAAAAATGAATAGAATGTGTTAAGGGAGAAAGGCTCACCCCCTTTATATAGGGGTGAGATACCTTCCTAGTAGCTGCCCGGATAAGGTGAGCTGGCTGCCCAAGCTACCCGTCCGTACTCTGACACGCCGCGCACATGTCAGAGGTGGTGCAAGGCGTTGGGAGCTGTCAGAGGTGGTTATCGCTATCACCAACTACATTCTCGACACGTGTCCTCCTGCACATGGGGTAAATATTCTCCTGAGGTTCAGTTAGAGGGTCTTACGCGCGCCCGCGGTACACGCCCCATGACTAGGTCGATTATTGGTTCCTCGAAGTGATCGATCTGTTGAGGTCGAATAGGTTGCCTGATCATGTATCTGATCGAGCGATGGGTTGCTCGATCGTCTCTCGGGCTGTGCGATGGACTGGTCAACCACCTTCTTGGTCGACTGTCTGAATGATCGATCCTCCCGCTTCTTGTCTTGGTTTCCTCCTAGTGTGACCCTCTCCACTGGCTGAGGAGACCGGTTTAACCTTGTGTATATAATATCCCATATCAATGTGGTAGGTTTGTTAG